GGGATTATAACACATTACTAGATTAAAAAATCTAAAACAACTTTACACATCTGGATAAACTCAACTTGATTATACTGTACTAGTCTTTTTATACATTTTTGGGTTAGTTTTGTAATATATTATTTATTTATTTATTATTTTTTTCAAAATTTTATTGATAAACAGCAATGAGACAGTTTCAAATCAAATCAGAAGTACAGTTTCAACAAATAACACACTGCATATATTCTTCTTAGTGGTTAATTGCTGTACAAGATGCGGACTTGAGATCCTATTTACAAACACCATTAGAACAAATCATTCTATTCATTAAGAGAATGCAACTATATATCTATCCTAACCACTTTGAATACACAGATACAAAATGGACATTCATCTGTATACCCCTTTTTTTTCTAAGTTCCGTTATTGAATATTATAGGTGTGTAAACAGCAAAATATTCTAAAAGAGTCCAGTAGCCCATAATAGCATTGGGTCTTCTGTTTAACTGGCAATTTCAGAAATTATTGACCTGAGTCCCCCACAGTTCAACATAACAACATGGCTTTACTTCCTATATTTCGTCTTCATACTTTTCTACTGGATGGTTAAGACCAAGGTAAAGCAGGACCTGTGCAACAAGAGTTGTAGCTTTTTGGTCTGAGAAGGTCAGTGAAATGCCCTCAGGATTTATCCTGAGATCCTGTACCTCAGATTGTAGAACCTTTGTCAGTGCAGCCATGTGGATGAGTCACGGCCATTGCTTGGCCAATGTGCTCTCTGTGAAAGCCTGAGAGAGTGTCTTCTCCCCATGTGACTCTCCTTAGGCACACTCTATGTCACTGATCACTTTCCTCTTTGGTCCCATAATCTTCTTGATCAGAAAATTTGGGACACTACCAAGGTACATGACGTTACAGTACAAGTTCTCATATGTCCTGAGTCTTAACTGACCTTAGAAGGTTAGAGCCAAAATGTTGGCTTTCCTTGTAGCCCTCCTTTTTCTCTAATTTTGGTCTGCGAACTTAGGTTGTTAACCATCTAGAAGACAAGCTTATTGTTATTATCAAACGATTTAGGCTATCAAGCTTAACCTCACTATCTCACTGCATTTCAAACATCTTAGACATAATAAGGAACAGGTGTTTTTCATCAAGTATTGATATGTTGAACTTTAAGTCCCTACATAATATGATAAAAAAACACTTAAAAATTAGATTATATTTTAAAAATAGGATAAAGAATTCTATACTTCTCATGTTTGCACATAAGTCCAAAAATCTCACCATATACATCCTTGAAGCAGGACAGTCCCACAATATTCCTTTTCCTGTCTCTTGCTTTCATTCACCACCCCCTTCTTCTTGAACATCCACCTACCCGAGAGACATCTTAGCAGTAACTGGCATGTCATGACAAGCCGCCCATATTCAGAATACCACAATGACAGGCACTCCCATCATGAAACTACTGTTACAAATTACCATCTGCACTGCAGTAGCTTAGTTCATAGGTATCAGTATATATAGTTAGTCAGGGTGAGAATCTTTCTAATTAACTGCTAGATTAAAGAATCTTCTGAATATTCTCAGGATCATTGCCATGCTCATCTTTTACATATAACTGTAATATATTATTTAAGGCCTTTATATTAATGAAAAAGACTGGCATATTATTTTTTTGTGTCTTTGTTAGGTTTTGGTGTCACAATTATTCTGAGGCCTTGGATCAACACTTGGGACGCAGACTCTTTCAATGCCCCAGAAGAGGTTTTTTCAAGGTTGGCACTAGGTTTTTTAGTGGTGGTCACAGCTGAGAAGCAGTGTGTGTGTGAGGTGGTGGTGGTGGGGCTTTATTAGCGCTGAAGCCATCTGGCCGGGAGGGAGATGGGGAATCGGGTGACCTCAGCCAGCCAGCTTGAGACTTTAGGGACTTTTGCTAGGGGCGGAGCTTGAGGGTGGGCTCGGGACACACAAGGGGCTGATTGGAGGCTCCCTCTTGTGGGCGGGAAAGGCGAAAGGCAGCTGTGTACAGGGCTGGAGTAGGGAAGGAGGAGGAGGAGGTGGGCATGGGGAGGTAAGCTGCTGTTTGGGAGGTTCGGCCATGTTGGACCAGCAGTTTGTACTTGGGTTACACACTGATACAAATGTATCAGTTGGCACTATTTTATTTCTTTAATTGTTATAATTCTGCAGTGATAGGACCTTGGCCTAGAGTTTACTTGATAGGATAGTTTTCAACTGCAGATTTTTCAGGGTTTTTTTTTTTTTTTTTTTTTTTTGCAGAACCAGGGATTGAACTCAGGCCCTTATGCTTACTCAGGCCCTTGCGCTTGCCAGGGAAGCACTTATTCCACTAAGCCATCTCCCCGGCCCCAATATCTTGTTTTTTTTTTTTTTTTTGTGGAACCGGGGATTGAACTCACGCCCTTGCGCTTGCCAGGGAAGCGCTTATTCTCCTGAGCCACCTCCCTGTTTCAGTTTTACTTCAAAAATATTCAGTTTTTTGCATAAACTTGTTCACAATATCCTCATGATAAACTTTGATTTACAGAGGACCTGTAATGCCGCTCCCCTTTATTCCTCACAGTGGGCATGTGTAGCTTCTGTCTCCTTTTTTTTGATCAGTCATGCTAAGGGTTTGCCTACTTTGTGCTTTCAAATATCAAGTTTTGGCTTGATGGTCTTCTTTTGTATGTTTCCTTTCTATTTTGTTAGCTCCTGCTTTTGTCTTTATTGTTTCTTGCCTTTTATTTTCTTTGAATTTGCTGTTCTTTGTCTAATTTCTTGAATTTATAATTTCATCATACCACTGATTTTCATTTTCAACATACATATTTATGGTTATTGATCTCTCTAAATATGGCTTTAGCTGATCCTATATTTCTTTTCTTTTTTTTTGGGGGGGGGTGCAGGGTCTCACTACATAGCTGGGCTCATAGTGATCCTCCTGTTTTTGGCCTCTCTAGTGCGGGGAAGACAGGTGTGCACCACCACGCCTGGACTCCATTGCAAGCTCAACACACCCGGGGGGCTGTCCCGGCACAACACGTGGTGCCAGGGACCAAACCCTGGCTCCTATTCCCAAGCAAGCATTTAGTCTGCTGAGCTATCTTGCCTGCCCTCCTATTTTTTTAAAAAAAGTTACACATATAGTTCCCCAACTGGAGACCACTGTAAAGTGATGGCATGAATAGCTGCTTTCCTGGACTGGTGGGAAGGGGGATCCCCAAAGGGGTATCCAGGGCCTAGAAAGAGCATCAGAATTATCTTCTGTCTTTTTGTCTGCATCTTCACTGTCACCTGAAAACTAGTTTGCTGTGAAAGCTCAGAGAGGTCAGTACCTGTCAGTAATAATGTTTGTGTTTGCATGGCACCTTCAGTCCCTCCACCTTTAAAAGTTTTTTTCTTTCTGCTAACCTGTTAATTATCAATGGACAGTTTTCAGTCTTTATGAGTACACGATATTTTCTGAAATCTAGTGCCACTAACAACATTTTCCTTTCAAAGGTTGTCTGGTTACCTTCTCTGACACAGTTCTCCCATTCCAGGTTCTCCTTGTATTTTCATTTTCAAGCTTGTCTTCTTCTATCCATCCCCTAAGCATTGGTCAACACTCCTTCCCAACATTCTTCTCAGGTTGCATGCAGCCCCTAGGTGGTCTGACGCTCCATGTTCACTATTGCCTAACCCCCTAGATCTTTACGTTCAGCCTTGATTTCTCTCCTGCTCTCCACACACATATAGCACATTTCTTCAACATGAAGCACAAGGTAAACTGAGATCAGAGAGGTTCACAGGGGCCCAAATACATGGAACCTTGTAAGCCTTAGAAGGATTTTATATGTTATCCTGCTTAAAATCATGAGACTTTCAGGGTAGGGAATGATACAACTCAGTGCCACAGTTCCTGACAGTTGCTGCCCTCTCTGGGGGCCTTTAAATCCTCACCTACAGTGATTGCCAGCTTCATCTGGTTACTCTTCCTCACTCCACGACCAACACATATCATCTTAGCACAGCAAAGATGACATATCCAACTGGAATGTGATACCTTTCTTCTATTTTATGTTCACCAATAAAGTCATGGTTTAGTTCCAAACTCACCTTTTACCGTTACTTCTTGGCTGTTATTCATCACTCTAGCTTCTCTTTTCTCTAATCCAGCTTGAACACTGTTTAAAGAATTACCTTTCCAGTCCTGACTTTTCTCTAGTCTTTCAATTATTTCTTGTCACTTATCTTCTATTATCCAACTCACTGGCCTGACATACACTACCTACTGCAAAACATTCTAAATCCCCAGTTCCCTCTTTCATCACTAGTCAAATGCACCCAACATGCTAGCTACAGAAAACATAAAGCCCCATCCCATTTCACACCTCCATTCCATCCTGTCTTTCACCTTCTGCTTAGAATGCCTTCCTGTTTCAGCTATCTTCCCCGCCCCTAGAGCCCCCTTATTTCCATCCTTGTCTCCTTCAACATGTTTTTTGTTCTGCAGCCAAGGCAATCCAGTTGTATCATTCCCTACCCTGAAAGTCTCATGATTTTAAGCAGGATAACATATAAAATCCTTCTAAGGCTTACAAGGTTCCATGTATTTGGGCCCCTGTGAACCTCTCTGATCTCAGTTTACCTTGTGCTTCATGTTGATATCTCTGTACTCAGTGCCACAGTTCCTGACAGTTGCTGCCCTCTCTGGGGGCCTTTAAATCCTCACCTACAGTGATTGCCAGCTTCATCTGGTTACTCTTCCTCACTCCACGACCAAGCCTTTACAAATGCCCCAACCTAAGTTGTGCCATTCTGTTCTCCTTTGTTATTTCCTCTTCTAGGAACCTCCTGTTCTTACTTCACTGAACCAACTGCTATCTGTGCACTTGCTTTACTGTTTCCCCAAGTAGTTGGTGAGCTGGTGGGGAAAAGAGTCATTCCCTGTTATTCACTTGTACTCTATCTGCCAGCATAGTGCATGGTTCTGAGTCCCTTGTTTCCTTAGATGCTGTTCATTCACTTACCTTCCCTGTGTGTCCTTTCAGATTTGTGATGTTTTCCAGGCTTGTGGTGGTAAAAATGTGGATCACATTTCCATTGGCTGCAGCAAACAGGTGACCTCCATTGCTAAAGGAGCACTACAGGGAAACAGCAAGAGAGCCAGCAGGTGAGCCAGAGGTGAGCCACAGGTCATCAGCCTAACTGGAGGCTGCATTCTGGAAAGGCTTTTCTGGAAGAGTGCACGTGGAAACTACAATTCCTAGTGGCAGTAAGTCTGAAATCTAGCTGATATTTTCAGACACTGTCAGACACTGGTCCTGTAGCTTCCATAGCCAATATGTCCACACTGCCATCGCACTGGTCATTACACTACTTTAATTCCAGAGCCTCATTTTGTCTAGAAAAGTGGGGCACTGATTTCCCCAAATCACAGTCTTATTTCTGTGGGCTATCTCAGGGCCACGTGGGGCATCTGATGGGCCACTGACAGCCACTCACAGCTGATGTTACGGTCCTCGGCTGCTTTAATCTCATCCTTATGGGCCCAGCCGAACTTTCATTCTGAGATTCCTTCTTCCATAGTTGTTGAGACTCCAAGGTCACAGACAAAAGTTATTAAGGTGGGATCCCACAAAGCTGTAAGGCCAACAGAATATTCTAGTGGGCATAAAGAAGCAGGGGTAGAGTTAAGAGTTTGAATGAATTGGAATTTTAAAAAGTCACTGAAGTTCTGTTCTATAAGGCAGACTTTGGTTCTGCCTCTTTGGAGTGTGTTAGTTCTTGGTCCTTGCCTTTCAACTTTGGCTTTCCAAGAAACTGGACCTTTATCTCTAGCAGTTTTTACCTCTCTGCATCCTCTGACAGAGTATTCTTTGAAAGGACGTATATCATCAATGAGTAGATTCATAAGGCGTAGTTTGTCAGCAAACCCTACTACAACGTAGTGTCCAGATGGATGAAGGCTGATTGTATATGCCTCTTCTTGATATTCCTTAAATAGTTCAAGAGTGCTATGAAAAACATAAAAACTTACTGAATTATAAGCCAAATTCCTAGATCCCTTATCACAGGATTTGAGATACTTTATTGCTTAGAATCACTGGTTCTCTCTCTCTCTCTCTCTCTCTCTCTCTCTCTCTCTCTCTCTCTCTCATTACTTGACAATACTGTCTGGCTTTAAGTGTGGTGAGGAAGGGATCTAGCTGAGGTACTGTCTAGTAATGGTGAAGACACAGCTCTGTTAAGATTCAAAAATTTAAGTATAGTACTGGTAGTTTTTTTTTCAGCAGCCCCAGCACTTTTTACAAGAGCAAAGAAAATAGTATGGATCTAATCTAAGGTCAGAGATTCTCAGAGAAGCTATGCCAGGAGGACACAATTCCTAGGGAGTTGGAGTAGTTGGCACAGTGCTGAGGAGAAAGAGTAAAGGGGCCAGAGAGCTCTCTAAAACAAAAACTGGGGCCAAGGATGTAGCTCAGTGACACAGTGCCTGCCTGGTAAGCCCATGGTCCTGAGTTCTATTCCCAGAAAAAAAAAAGAAAGAAAAGAAAAGTAAAACAAAACAAAAACCAGACCTAGGGGGATGAAGAGGAAAGGAGAGCTACAGCTATGGTGGAATTTAGGAAGGAAGGTGAGATCTTGGGGTGTTAGCTTTATGTCTTTAGTCTAGAACAGGGCTTGGTATATAGTAAGCAATTAATTAATCATAAATTAAATTTCTAGCCAATGCAAGAATGAGAAACAGATCAACTGACTTGATTTTTTTTTTTTTTTTTTTTTTTTTTTGAACCGGGGATTGAACTCAGGCTTTCATGCTTGCCAGGCAAGTGCTTGTTCTATTGAACCATCTCCCCAGCCCCTGACTTGATTTTTTAAAAAAAGGCTTTCCAACTAAAAGCTTCTAAGTAATTAAACTGTCAAACTCTAATTAAAATGATTCACATAAACAAATTCGACAGTGGAAATGCTGCACACCACAGCAGCAAAGCCCTTCGTGCCTTACTTTGATTCATAATTCCAGATGCGAATGGATCGATCCAGGGAACAGGTGGCAATGAGAGGTTTGCGAATGCAGGTGGCTAGACCAGTGATGGATGCAGAGTGTAATGGATACAGCAGGTACTCGAAGTGAGCAGCCTCGCCCTGGAGAGAGCACACATGAGGAAATCCGGACGGTGAGCAAAAGGTGGGTTATGTACCTCAGCTCTCATTAGTACCTGGGGACATTACTTAGGCTATATGCACAGAAACTGAGCCTTAGCAAATTGTTTTAATGTTATACATATATTTATGATGGTATTATTTAAAATCATTTTTTTTTTTTTTTGAGACAGGGTCTCCCTGTGTAGTCCAGGCTAGCCTTGAACTATGTAGCTCCAGCTGACCTTAAGCTTGAAGTAATTCTCCTGTCTCAGCCTCCTGAGTCCTGGGATTGCAGGCATGCACCACCATGCCTGGCTTCAAAAACATAATTTTAATGGCAAAAATTTTTATTGTGAATATCCTGCAATTTAACTATTCCTTTACCGTTGGGATATTATAGTGGTTTCCATTTTTAGTTAGCATTTCGTAATAACACAACTAAATATCGGTGTTGTACCTTGCTGACTACTTTCTTAGGATACATTTCTAGAAATGGTATAATGGGTAAAACAGTGAGTGATTTTAAGTATCTTAATGTGTATTGCAAAGTTTCTCTCCAAAGGGGCTATACTAGTTAATCTAGCAGCAGCAGCAAAGGAGAGCTGGATGAATGATTTTAAATTGAAATGCATTCTACTGTACTGCTTATACAGGATTACAGATGTTTGTCCTCAGAGGCATTATCATCCTTGGGATGCATAAATGAGAAGTAGTGGTTAAGAAAGTCATGAGGTATGCACATTTTAGGTTTGTCTGCAAGTTAAGACAAAGGCCGAGAGCGAATTCTCTCCACTTCTGGCCCTCCCTTGCTTCCAGTCGTCCATCCCTCACTCTTCTACTGCCTCAGGGAAAGAGCACTGCTGTGGGTTGGGAGCAGGTAGATGGCAGCTCTGCTCCTCTCCATCTGCCAGCCCCATATCTCCAGCATCTGCAACGTTCCTGTCTCTACTAGCATACTCTCATTAACTGTGAAACACCCTCAAATCTTTCAACTTTCTTCTTTAAAAACTTTACAAATTCTCTCTTACCCTTGTGTACATATGCCTCAGCAGTCGAGTAATCATGGGGAATCAGACAAACAAGCTCACTAGTTTTTCTTAGAACACATGACCATAAACGTCCAGTGGGCATTTAGTGCATTACTTTCTGATTCTCCAAGATAACTATTTATACTATTTATTCTCTCTTTTTCAAATCTTCTGAATTATTTCTTGTATCTGTATACCTTGTCAGATGACATTACCTCATATTTCTTTGATTTTTGTATCTTTGTTTTCTTCATTTTGTATGTCAGCACAGTTGTAGATTATTATAATTAACAGAAAGCCAATTTTATTTAATCTCTTAATCCTCGTTTCTTCTTTGGTACTGTCCGTCCCTTATCATAGGTATGAACGTAGTATGAATTTTACTTCTGTCACTGAATATATTCATGTATCTTTTTTTTTTTATTCTCTCAATACAGGGTATTGCTATGCAGCTCAGACTCACAGTGATCCTCCTGTCGCAGCCTCCCCAGTGCTGGAATTACAGGCATGCGCCACCATACCCGGTTTTGGAGCCAGCACAGCATGCAGCACCGGGGATCAAACTCGGGTCCTTGCACTTGCTGAGCTATTTCCCCAGCCATATATAAATGGAATTGTGCTGTAGATTTCATTCTGTATTTTTATCCTTTCAGTGTTATGTTTTGAAGGACTCATGCATGTTGTATCATTTATAATTTACTGCTTCTAACTGATGTTTGGTATTTAGAATATGCATCCAGCTATGTTACTTCTCCATGCCAGTAAGGATGGACATCAAGGGAGCCTTTGTGTGTGTGTGTGTGTGTGTGTATTTTAGGGAAGAGTCTACAGGGTGTTCAGGGACTCACTACTAGATCAGACTTGTAGTGATCTGCCTGTTTACAGCCTCCCAAGAGCTGGGATTACAGGCATGTGCCACCATGTCCAGTCTCAATTGCCCTCTCAGCGCGCCCTGGGGGTGGGGATGGCATGGCAGGTCCGGGGATCAAACCCCAGCCCCTGAGCATGCTTGCAGGCGCTTTAATCTGCTGAGCTATTTGGATGGCCCAACAAGACAGTCTTTAACTGTCCATCACTAAAAACACCCAGGTAGCATCTTTGTACATGTTCTTTAATGGTTTTCCATTAGAGTTTCTGGTGTGTATCTAGTGGCAGACTACTGGGTAATAAACTGTATATACTCTTTACTTAGCTCTCTACCAAAAACTATCAGGTTGCCCTCTTGAACAGCTGCCTCAGTTTACATCCTGTAATGGTTTGTATTTAGGTATTTCTCCCAAATCTCAGGCACTCACAGATGGCTTCTGGGAGGTGACTGGATGATGGGGGCGTGATGCTTGTCAGTGGCTGAGCCCTATGATGCCTTCATATCTAAATGTGATTTGGGGGTGAAGCCTGGTCAGAGGTGGGTCACTGGGGGTGTGGAATGAGTCTCTCTCCCTGCCTCCTTTCCTTGATCTTGCAGTTTCCTGGTACTGTGGCATGAGCCTTCTCCTGTGCCGTGCCCCTTTGCCATGCCATTCCACTTGGAGTCAATGGACTATGGGCGGAAGCCTCTATATACCATGAGATAACATAAACCCTTTCTCTTTTAAATCGTAGGTGTCAGGTACTATGTTTCAGCAACAAGAAAGTCACTGTCATGCTCCCGTGTTCCCATCTTACCACATTAAGATTCCCATTCCTGCTTGTTCTCAGAAATTTCTGGTAATATCTGTTTTTTTTATTTTATTTTTTGGTACTGGGAATTGAACTCGGGACCTTATGCTTGCCAGGTTGGCACTGTGCCACTGAGCTATATCCTCAGCCCCTGTTATTCTACTTTTTAATAAGATCATAAAAATTCCTTACAGAAAACATCACAGTAGTTTTTTTTTTCTTTATGTATTCATTTAGTACGGGATCGACAGGGTCTCACTACACAGATATGACTTGCAGTGATCCTCCTGTTTTCAGCCTTCCAAGTGCTGGAATTACAGGTGTGTGCCACCACGCCCAGTCTACAGAGTATTTTAATTTGTATTTTTCTGCTCACAGGCAACAGAAACTATCTTGAAAACAGGGTTGTACTTAACAGACAATGGCTTTGAAACCATTATAAATATGTTCAAAGAATTGTAAGCAGCCTTGATTTTTTTTTTGAAACAAGGTCTTACTATGTAGTTTAGGCTGGTCTCAGCTTGCCATGCTGTTATCTCAGCATTGAGAGTGGTGGGACTATCAGCAGCAGCCATGTTTAAGAAAAACCAATCATGACAGTCTTCATCAAGTACAGAACATTAATAGAGGGGCAAACAGTATGAAAATATTGTTGTGGGGCCGGGGAGATGGCTCAGCAGAATAAGCACTTGCCTGGCAAGTGCAAGGACCTGAGTTCAATCCCCAGTTCCACCAAAAAAAAAAAAAAAAAAAAAAAAGAAAATATTGTTGTGGAGTTAAAAAGTAAAAAACTAAAATAAAAATGTATGAGAGTGGCTCAACAGTAGATTTGTACTTGCAGAATTAGTGAGTATGATAAGTCAATAAAGATTATATAATCTGAGGACCAGAGAAAAAAGAATGAAAAATTTTAACAGAACTACAGATAAATATGCAACACCACTAAGCTCATGAACAGATACATACTGTGAATATCAGAGGATGGGAGAGAAAGGAGCCAAAATACTTGACTAAATGATGGATAGACCCATTGCTTTTTTAAAAAAAATGCTTATTGAGAAATATTAATGTACATTTATAGGAAGTTCAACTATTTCCAAGTAGGAAAAACACAAATAAATTCATGATAAAAATACCAGCAGCCTTTTTTTTTTCCACAAGGAGAAAATGCTGGAAGCATCACAAGATCATTTACAAGGGAAGCCCACTAAGATTAACAGCAGAGTTCTCAGCAAGACAATAGAAACCAGAAGAGGGGAAGTAAGATGTTCAAAATGCTCAAAGAAAAATATTATTATTTTTTTATTTTTTATTTTTTTTAAATTTTATTTATGTGTGTGTGTGTGTGTGTATGTGTGGCCAGCTCAGCCCACCAGGGGGCGAGGCTGGCTGGTATGTGGTGCTGGGGGATTTGAACAGCGGTCCCTGTGCTTTGCTAAGCTTGTTCTAAGTAGGTGCTTTAGACCACTGAGCCATCTCACCAGCCCGAAAAATATTATTAATCTAGAATCCTATAGACAGCAATTTTATATATTCTTGGAATTAACAGTTCATAATGAAATAAAATCCTATTTACAATAGTACTGAAAAGAATAAAATACTGTAGTGCCAGCTACTGAGGAAGGGTCCTATGAGTTCATGAATGTGAGGCCAGCCTGTGCAACATGGTGAGATCCCATCTCAAAAAAAAAAACCCAAAACAAAACCAAAAAACAAAAACAAAAACAAAAAAAAACCCCAAAAAACATGTAAGAAAAATTTAATAAAGTAAGTGTGAAAATCAGTCTGAAAATTATGAAACATTATCAAATACAAACATGGAAAAAAATCCATGTTCATGGATTGGAAGGTTTAATATGGTTAAGATGACAGTACTCTCTAAATTGATCTACAAATTCAAATTCCAAATATCAGAATTTCAAATTGCTTCTTTTTAGATATAGATAAGCTGATTCTAAAATTTATATTAAATTGCGAGGGACCAAGAACAGCCACAACAATCTTGAAAAAGAAGGAAAACATTGGAAGCTTCAGGTTTCTTGGTTTTATTTTTTTTTATAATTTTTTTAAAATTTTATTTATTTGTGTGTGTGTTTGTGTGTGTGTGTGTGTGTGTGTGGCCAGCTCAGCCCACCAGGGGGTGGGGCTGGCTGGCATGTGGTGCTGGGGGATTGAATCACGGTCCCTGTGCTTTGCTACACTTGTTCTAAGTAGGTGCTTTAGACCACTGAGCCATCTTACCAGCCCGGTTTCTTGGTTTTAAAACTTAATAAACAAACAACCCTACAAAAAAACAGTAATCAAGACAGTGACAGAAGGACAGAAAGACAGAACAGTGGAATAGAACTGAGAGTCCAGAAATAAATCCATCTGTTAATTGATTATTTTTAACAAGGGTACTAAGATCATTCAATATAGAAAGAATAATCTTTCAACAAATGGAACAAATGGATAGCTGTATGCAAAAGAATGAAGTTAGATCCACACTGCATGTCATACACATAAATTCAACTGAAAACGTACCAGGATTAAACTTGGGACCTCGAGCTTGCCAGCCAGGAGCTTATGCTGCTGAGCTATCTCCTCAACCCTACAGCTTCTTTTGCTGGGTCCCAAAGTAGAGAAGGGGTGAATGAACCCATGCCTGGCCTCTGGATGGGAAACACCCACATGGTGACCAGGCCCTTGCCAGGCACACAGGCCTGGTCTGCCAGGACGTGCTGCTGGGGCAGACTCACCTTGCTGATCTCTGTCAGGGACATGGTGATAGTATAGAGTTGGTTCTTACTGGTACTGGCAACCAGAGTCTCCTCTGAGGGGCTGAAGCACATGCACAGAACATCCTGTTTGTCAGACTGACTTGGGTCATTGCTTTGTGGGTCCACAGGAATCTGACCAAGACATAAAAGAGCTATCAGTAATGGCCCCACATGGTCAACAGGTCCTTCGGCTTTGAGAGTTCTCACAGAGAGCTTAAGCTGTCAGGCTCCTAGACTAGAATTGCTTCCCAGCTCCTCAGGTGTGGAGGAGGGAAGGCCTGAATGCCTATTTTGGGGGCTTTCAGTACCACCAAGCTTTCACCCTGAGGTAACTAGTGTCCAAGTTATAACAGCAGCAGCATATGTGGATATTATCAATCCATGGATCTCAATTTGTGCTTCCCCTTAAAACACACAGCTGGTTCAGTCCTACTCTGGCCCACCTTCTGGGAGCCCAGTGCACATGCTCATCTGGCACTGGCACACCTGTGTCACTCGAGTGCTGCAGAAGGACGTGGCAACCCTTCCACAGGTAGGGTGGGTGACAGGGCAGGGCAAAGAGGAGTTGCTGTGTTCCTGCCAGTAATCTTTAAGAGGGGCTATACTTCTTAGGAAGACATAATGACATCGATTTTCTTTTCCCTGCTACTTATCTTCTGTTAGCAACTGTGCTCATTGGAAAGCTGGTGTGCACCTGTTTCTGCTTCCCTACTGTGTGCGAAGTCCTCACAATTTGGCTTTCACTGCACCGTTCCCCACAACTGTCCTCGGGAAGACCAGAAATCTCCGCATCACCTAAGCAACAGGCTCCTGCTCAGCCCCCATTTTCTTTACTTTTCTAGAGCTTGGGCAGCCCTCTTCCCCCTGGGGCCTAGGAAACTAGGCTCGTGTGCTTGGCTCAGAGGCTTGTCTTTCTGTGTAGCTCCACTCTTCTTCACGTAGCAGATAGGCCCTGTGCAGCCGCCACAGCAAGGCTCCAGGAAGCCTTTGCTGACCTCCTTTAGGCTGGTGGGCACTGATATTCCCTAAAGTACCCACGGCCAGTGCAGTTCCCTCCTGTATTTACTGTACTGCACAAGTCCAATGGGAGCCCTCAGACCAAGGACCTTGCCTGTTTTGTCCCAGTGCTGTATCCCAGTGCTTAGAGCAGTGCATGGCATATCGTAGGTGGCTGACAAAGGAAAGGATGCTGCCTCGTCTCTCTTTTGTGGGCACAGTGAGGTCCTGGGGAGAAAGAGTTGTTTCCGACTCATATCTCAGCCAAAGCTGGAGTCTGCCCCATAGCAGGTACATGGTAGATGTTTGTTGAATGAGTAAATAATCACAACTCCTCTGCTGGGCTTCCACCCTATTTCTAAATTAGGAAATGCCACGTCTTGTCCTTAGTCCTCTTTTAATTCTCCCAATGTATTTTGTCTTTCAGTGAATTTGCTTAATATGAAGGTTTAAATGAAAATAATGGTAGTAAATTACACTAAATACTTAAAGTATTAGACATCAATGTACGCATGTGTACATGCATGTGTGTGTGTATCTGTGTGTGTGCACCATTCCCCACCAAAGTCCATGTCTGTATTTCCAACTGCTTCATTTTTCCTGGTCTCTGTCCAAAGTCAGAGCTGCACCTTCCTTAGAGGCCTCCAGTCACTCTAGACAGACCCCTCTGCCTTCCTCTCCTCTTTCTGGCTTTATTTTCTTCACTCTATTGATCCTCACCTGAAACCCTGTTCATATTTTGTTTCTGCTCATTGATGGCATTCTAAGGAAGGCTCTTCTGTGTGTTGCCTTCCCTACTGTGCCCTGAACCCCTTCCACAGTCTAGCACGCAGTAAATACCTGTTAAGTAAATAAACTAATAAAAGAGTAAATCACTTAATGAGCCAAGTAAACTCACGCTGCTGCCACCGCCTTCTCCCTCATCCCCATTCTCCTTGCTTTACTCCTTTGCCCTTCTCCCAGGCATCCACTTCATAGTCCTTGTCTTCCCTGAGGGCCCCGTCTCTGACTGTCTTCATGGAGCCCATCCCCTTCCTACACCTCTAGCCTGTACCTCACTCTTCCTTTTGGCTGCAATGAAGAAAATACCTCTTAACTGACTGCTGATCAGAGCAAAGCAACAACTCCCACTCTTGAAGCACGGAGGCCCAAGCACCACACAGGAGAATTTCCACAGACCACCGTTCTATTCTTTTGATAACCACGAAGGATGGGTTATTTCTTAATGAGGAAGTGCAGGCTTGGTGCTCCAAGTACTCACTGCAAGCCACTCAGCCAAAAAGTGGCAGGCTCAGCTTTGACCCCTCAGGTTTCAACTGCTTCAAGTCCAAGGCCTTTGGAGTCACCCCATCATGTATCATGGGCAGACTACTTTTCTTAAACATAACTTCTTAGTCAAATCCTTGCAGGGTGCTTGCCAAATCACACACACACACACACCTCCTGACGGGTGTTTGAGGTCTTTCATTTGTCTTAATTCCCCCATTCCCTTCCAGGGTCTTTACTCTTTCCACTGGGGAACACAATATCTCCCAACCAGAACACCTGCCTTCAGCCTCCGTGGAGCTTCGGCCGAAGTTGCTCCATCTGTCCAGAGTTCCAGGTTTCTCCATCTAAAGTTGTCAGTCCTCTAAGACCCTTCATCAAAGATTATCAAGCACCAAAAGGGCTTACAAATTCTTTTCCAATCCTTTGTAACTCACTCTCTCCCCAATATTTAGTATTATTTATTCCACAAGTCCTAAAAAAGGTTACAATGGGCCAGGTAGTATGCTCAGCATTAAATATAAATATGTACTTAGTAATATGATTATTATTGGGACACTAGGGTCAGTGAAGAAGTATATTTTGCCAAAATTCTCTTCCAGGATTCCAATTAAAATCTTCCTACTTCTCAACCCCCAATCTGTCCACTTTATCCTAAAACCTCCCTCAGGCTCATGTGTCAAGTCAGTGTTTCCATCCAGCCTGACTGTCCGCTGTTCCTCGCCAAGTGCCTGGTCAGACTGCAGGTGCCGGAGAACAAGTGCTGGCAGGATTGCATCTTGCCTCTTCCTCCCCACTTCCTACCCGGATTTCCCTGCTCTCCCTGTAAACGTCCTTGTCTTCTATCTTCTCAAACAACAGAACTCTTCCTGGCCCAGCAGAACAGGCGAATCCTTTGGAGTAGGCAGCGATGGCGAAGACTCGGGGCATGGCCAAGTGGTCTGTTTGGCTAGTGGATGTCGCCATCTGCTCATAGGACGGAAGTGGGGAACTGACTGGTGGAAATTCGACCAGGCTGGGGGAGGAAGACAGCACATAACATCTTCAGAGACAATCCCAAAGAGATGGATTCATTTTTCCCCCAGTAGTAGATCTGAGCCCAGGGGAAAATGACCTCTGAGCTACACTCCCACAAAGTTGTTCAGGCTAGTTTAGAACTTTTGATCCTTCTGCCTCAGCTTCTGGAATAGCTGGGATTATAACTGTGCATGGGCATGTGCAACCCCAAGAAGATTAATTCTGCTTGGGAAAAAATAGAGGGCTATCCTCGGGTGGCAGAGATGTCACCCACGGATCCTCTTTCCCCATAGCCGCTGGCCTGGGAATGCCAACCCCCACGAGAGGAATGGTGGGCTTTACAGTTAGCTGGCAGTGTGCAACCCTGTGCGGGCAACTGTAACAGCAGTAATGATGATGATTCTCATTTAGATCACACAACTGGTGAGTGGCAGAACTGAGATTTAAATCCAGATCTCCAAGTTTACTCCCTAATTCACAAAGTAACTTTTTTCTATTTGTTTATAAATATTTGGAGTTATGTTAATGGCACTATAGAACAATGGTAAATAAGGCTGACACAGTTCTTGTCCTCAGCAACCTACAGTTTAGGGAGAGTGGAGCTAAGGACTGTCAGGGGCAGCTGAGCTGGAGGGGAGGAGCCATTCAGTAGGTGATGAGGATGTCCTGAGGGCAGATAACAGGCACACTCATCTGAGCTAAGCAGAGCTGAGTGACCCAGAGACAGGAACACATCAGGTATGCTGTGTCTGGCCTGTGCAGTGGCTAGGGAGATGAGGGAGGGTCATGGCCAAGCCCACAAACAGGAGGTAGACAGGGCACGTGAGGCTGGGAAGCTGAGAGCTGGGCAAGGTACCAAGTGAGCTAAGAAGCTGGGCTTTGTGCCGGGAGTGCTGGCTCCACACGACCGCACACACAGCCAACAGGAGATGGGCGTAGACAGTGAGCCTGAATCTTTTGGAGTGTTCAGTGATATGAACAGCTCACAGAGGCATGCATGTTGTATGTTCACTGCCAGTGGCATAGGGACTTCTTAGGAAGCTCCTAAAAGAGTCATGACCAAAAAAGAGAGGTCATTGGCATGAGGGTTGGGGAGGGAATGGGTGGACGGAAGTTACTAAGGAATGATCCACAGAATGCCATGTGGTTGAGAGTGTGGGCTCAGACAGATCTGGTTTTAAATCCTGATCCTGACACTTAACAATGCTGTGATTTTGGTTGAGTCCCTTAGTGTTTTTGAGCCTTAGTTTCTTGACCTAGAAAATGGGTGTGATAAACACACGTCCTATATAGAGAAAGACTAAAATGGGAATAGTGAGTCCTCAGAGCAGTGCTTGGCACACTTCCTGGCATGCTCCAGTGTGTGTGAGATGTGACTGCCTCAGGTTATTGTAACTGCCTCAGGAATGGTAGAGACTGACCATTCCTTCCGAGGCTCCCCCTTCACCCCACACCCTTCTGTCAGATTTACTGAGAATGTTTCCTTGTGCTTCTTTGCTGATATTTTGCCTCCTACTGAACTGTAGGGTCCTTAAGACCTCACAAGATGCCTTGTTCAGTGGACATTTATCTAATCAGTGAAGTAAATTAGATAGTTGTCCACTCAAAACTATTTCTGAAAAAATTACCCACAATTCTTTAAAGTATTTTTTAAACCCCATAATTTTGAATACTACCCTCATTAAAATATTCATGAAATGGGAGTTATAAAAATAAAAATAGCTGTATCTGTGTTATAACTCAAATTTCTGCCTGAATATAGGCAAACACTAAATGAAAGAGAGAAAAAGGATGAAGTTGCTTTTAACGTAAAGAGTTTTTTAGAGACAGGTAGTTCAGGCTGGCCTTAAACTCCACGTAGCCTTGGCTGGCCTCAAACTTGAAGCAACCCTCCCGCCTCAGCCTCCCCGGTGGTGGGATTATAGGTGTGCACCACCACACTCAGCCCATATGGTAGTGGAGTTTTTGAGGTGGGTTTTTCAGCGGTTGTGTGGGGCTTTTGAAGAAGGCCACTTGTGTGCAGTGAGAGCAGGGGCACAGGCCCAGTGGCCTTTACCTCTCTGACTCCTGGATGACGTCCAGGCTCTTGGAGCCACTCGTGGGCTCCTTGACCATTATGTTGGTCTCCCAGCGTTGATCTCCAGATTCAAAGAGAAAGAGCTTGCCCGTGTCTGTGCCAACGATAATCTTGTCTTCAGACAGCCAGGCGTGGGCTAGGTAGTTTTGGGGTTCTCCTCTCTGAAAATTGCTTTGCTTTAGGGTGCCCTCAGCAAAGCGGAGAAGCTTAAACATCCCGTTTCCAGTGACACAGACCTGAGTGTTATCCTGGGGATTGATGCTCACCTGTAATAAGTGAGAGAACAAAATACAAAGATTTACAAAAAGAATCTTGATGGAATGATTTCTAATTGTACTAATTAACACTCATTTCATTAATAGTCATTCTTCCTTTATGTATCATTAAATCATAGAATTTTATACCCCATTTGATAGGGCACACATCTATATCCACTATATGTGCAGGGCTTATATGAGTCTAACTAGGAAATCTACAAGGTAAAAAGGCAGAAGGAGCAGGTTTTCCCAGTAGGTGAACTCTGTGCTAACAGAAAAGAATGGAGCTCAGAGGAAACAGAAACAAAGTTTGGGCAGATGTCTATAGCCCTGTCCAGGGAGAAGAAACTAAAGGGAAGGGGATGCTAGCTAGTTCCCACCAGCTCCTACTCAATGGGGGCAACTTTGGGGTATGGCTTCGTTATCTCTGTCCCCTGCATGGTGGCTTCATAGTGGGCATCCAATGCATGTTCACTGAATCTACTCAGGGGGAGTGCTCCCTCTCTGTTCTAATTCAGAGTTTATCAGGACGCATTATGGCTAGTGTGAAATAACCCTCCAGGGTCTACCTGCCTTTGATCTGTGATCATCAAACAACCTCCTGATTACAGATTGCACCTCTCAAGTCTCTATCAGGAACAGAATACCCCGGACAAATGATATGAGCGTTCTAGTTACAATGTAACATCAAGCTCAATAATACATCAACCTTGTATGAGATAAATAATTTAGTCTATGACTGAGGCACTGATTAGCTAGTATCTTTGAATATGAAAAGTGATTTTTTTTTTTTTAAGAGACAGGGTCTTACTGTGTAGCTTAGGCTGGTCTTGAACTCATTACGTAGCCCAGGCTGGCCTTGAACATGCAGGCTGCTTCAGCCTTCCTGGTCCTAGGATTATAGGGGTGATGCGACACTGGGAAAACTAAATTCTTATACTTGTAAAAATGACTGTATGACACCAGACTGGGGTAACTGTGCCAAGACAAAGCCTTGGGATTTCCTGCATACATAGTGAACAAGCTATGTAATGGGGTCTTCCTTATTTTGCCCTCAAACCACCATAGAAAGTGCTGATTCCTACCCAGCTGCAACTCCATCAACAGCTTCCTAAGGATCTACTGTTGTACATCACACTCCTCATATCTTCCTACTGCCCAGGAATATTAATGGGAGGAAGCCAGAACTAAGAAGAGAGGGAGAGCACAGTTTTGCCAATCTAGCTCCTGGCCTAATCTACAACCAGAGAGCAGTTCTGAGCCGAAGAAGAGCTGGAATCTGAGAACTTGGGGCTCTGTCACACCCATCTTTGTGATCTTGGAGATGAGTGACTTAATCTCATCTTGGCATCTCAGTTTCCTTATTTGTAAAATGGGGATAATAATGGTGTCTTCCTTACAGGCTGTTGTGAGACTCAATTTTTTAAATGTATGTAAGAAATGAGCACTGTGGTACCAAGGAAACCTTTAGTAAGAGACAGCTCTTAATATTTTATAACTGGCACAGTATTATTCTGAGTTACCTGGTAGATAGGATTGTTCTGAGTATCAGCTCTAACAATGGCCATTACTTTCTGCTTTTCCCAGAGCCAATAGACGAGATTTGACTCTGGAGGTGATGTCTGAGTCAACAGGTATTTGGAGTCTGGAGAAAAAGCCATGCTGGTAAATCTCTGCACCGAGAAGTCAAAATTACTAAGAACTTTGCGTTTCCGGCAAGGGATACATGACAATTCATAAATGGTGATGGTGGGTTTCTCCTGTACGACCTCAGAGATAGCGAGATATCGCCGATTGGGACTGATGGACAAGGTCAGCATGCCCTGACTCTTGTCTGAACCTGAAAACAGGAAAAAGGGACAATGTGGGAAGACCACGCTTTCACCAAGACTCAACCACACATAGCAGTGGCACTGCTGACATCAAGGAGAAGGATCTGTGAAAAGGTAGCTACCAGTCCCTGGTCATCATTGCTGCAGCTATGTGTGGGGTATTATGATGAGAATGTACACCTCACTGGGGGAGAGCTGGGGAAAGACAAAGAACCTCTTTTGGAGGAGGCGGCAGATGGAGGATGGGGGAACATGGCAGGAAAAGCTTGAGCAAAGCTGTGGATCTGATTAAGGTACAGCACAGAGAGAGAGAGAGAATCCCAAGCAGTGGGTTATTCCTGGGCACTGTGTGTGGATCTGAGGTGATCAAAGATCCATCTAGACAGGCAGAATAGTGTCTTAGCAAAGAAGCCGTCATGCCCTGCGTAGCACTCGACACTCCCTCTACTCTAGAGACCAGGAAGCTCATGAATGGGTCTGTCAGCATCTCTTGCAGCTAGGTGATGACATTCTGGCTGTCAGATTGATGCAGAAGTCTAACAGAGTGGTTCATGATAAAGCTTTGTGCTCCCCTGAAAACTAGGGACAGGACTGGCATGATGCCACATGACTGTAAACCCAGAAATTGAGAGGCTGAGGCAGAAGGATCACTGTGAGTTCAAAGCCAGCCTGGACTACACAGAGAGCACAAGATCAGCCTGAATTACAGTGAGATCCTGTTATAAAACAAAACAAAGCAAAACAAAAAAACAACCGGGGACACATGCATTCTTGGAATACAGATATGATTCTGGTTATTCAGCAGTCATCTTGCAACAATAAAATGCTATTCATAAGAATGAAAGCTGTGGTCTTCCAGAAAGCAGAGCCCTAGGCAAAGATTAGAGTATAAATATTTTATCGAAGAAATGCAGTAAGGCCACATTATAACCTTTGTGGGCCCTAGGCACTTTTACTTTCATGAATCCCTTCTTCCACTAAAAAATGGTAAAAATGTATTTATTTTTTTATACTACTTAAAATTATAGCCACATATTTGATGACTGGATTGATACAAAAAAGAATGTAATCCAGGCTAGATTCACTATTATATATTTATTACTATCATATATTTTTTCCAGTTTTAAAATAAAAAATATTTTCATGGGTTCTGAAAGTATTGTGGGCCTGAGGTACTGTGCACAGTGAATAAGTCACCTGTGGATGCAGGTCAGTCAGGCAGAGATCGGGTGGGCAGGGGAAGATGTGCTGGAAAGGATCTGCAGGGTTCCCGTGTGATGGGTCCCCTGCCACTGCTTCACATCAAGGAAAGGAAAAGTAACAACTTGCTCGGCAGCATCTTGCCTACCAAGGTCTTCTCTGGAAGGGCCAACAGGCAGCAAATGCATCTCAGGGAAAAATCAGGTTGTAGGTCACTGAGAACCTTGCACAAGAATTTGGGGATCACCTGGGTGGCAAGGAAAGTCACTGAACATTTTTCTTCCCTCCTTTTCTCCTCTCCGTTTTCCCTTCCCTTCCCCTGTTTTTCTTCCCTCTTTCCCTCCCCACCAAAGTGTCTCGTAGGAAAAGCCCTCTGGGAGCTGTAGGGAAGACAGTCCTGAGGGAAGGGAACCAGTCAGCAGACTGTTTGAAGAAATGAGAGATGATGGCAACAACAGGCACCACGAAGGTGGAAGGAGTGACAGGATGCAGGGCTTACGTTGTGGGACAAATGTGGAGGTCCAATCAGTAGCACTTTGTGATCTCCTGGGTTAGGTGTGAGAGAGAGAAGTGTGAATGACATTTAGGTTTCTGATTTAGGTGTGTGGGAGGTGTGGTACCCCTCAGAAAGAATGTAGGCTGAGGATGTTGGGGACTGCTTCAATCACTTTCTTGTTGCTGGACAAAATACTCAATAGCCACAAGTTAAAGGAGGCTTATTTCGCCTCATAGTTTGGAGAGGTTTCATTCCACAGTCAGCTGGCTGGCTGGCAGAGCAGGCAGGAAGCAGGGAGAAATCAACAAAGGAGGAGGGACTGCACCCTTCCAGGCCACGCCCATAGCGACCACCTCTTTCCACCAGGCTTCACCTCCCAACATTGCATCTAGCCTGTCAACGGACTAACCCAGTATCACACCCACGAGCCAGTCAACTCCTAACAGCCCCATCTATGAGTGCATGAAGCTTTGGGGGGACATCTAGATATAAATCATAACAGGAGCGATGGGAAAGAGTGCATCTACTGACTTTTGTTTAAAACAGCACACTTGAATATTTGATATTTTTAGGTGTATTTGTGTCTAGCTTTTTAAGGTTTGAGGCTTTTTTTCTTTTTTACACTTCAATCATTTTGTTTTCTTTTGAGACATGGTCTCACTCTGCAGTGCAGGCCGGCCTTGTGCTCACTTTTGTAGCCCCAGGCTGGCCTTAAACTTGCAGTGACTTTCTGGTCTCAACCTCCAAGGTGCTTAAGCTTCTCAGCTATCTTCCCAGCCTCTACGCTTAAATCTTTAAACCATCTTGGATCCATGAGGATAAAAGATAGGAAATGAAGGCCCAAATTTGTTTCTATTTGTCAAATTTCTGACTAGTCCCAGCAGTAACTACTCAGACCATTGTCGGAGACCAGGTTACATGATATTACATGATAGATTATGCCCTCCCCCCAATATATGACTTCAGCCTCTTCAGTCCCAAGGTCTGTATAACCTTGCTTCAGGAACAGCGCTGCAGTATGTAGAAGGTCTTGTGCCTCCTGGCTATGGGCGAAATGCTAATAACCCAGCACTCTTGAGGCAAGCTAGCATCTGCTGAGCACAGCTATCAGAATACAGGCATTTGGGTTTACAGAAAATCTGGTTCCTCTTTAATTAATCCTTATCTACCCATTTTCTCTTGCTACTGTTCCATGAAACATGTGCTAGCCCTCTCCCTGATCTTGTTTTGGGGGTACGGGAAATGGAATGCAGGACCTTGAGTTTTTCCAGGAAGCTGTGCCACTGAGCTATAGCCCCCTCCCCTTCTTGGAAGCCAATGAAAGTGAGCTAACCCAAGAGATTTATTTTTTGGCCGGCTCAGTTTGGCATGTGGTGCTGGGGATCGAATCTCCTGTGCCTGCCTAAGCTTGCCTAAGCAGACACTTTAAACTGCTAACTATCTTGCCAGCCCCCCAAGAGATTCTTGAGCCAGTCCACTACAGGGCAGCTCTTCCTGATCCCCCTTCTGCCCTGAAGTTTGTCTTTTGGTCTTTCTTTATTCTCTGTCATCCCCGCTACACATATCTGAGGGTCTGATCAGACCTCAGCATACCACCTTTATAATATATTAAAACTATATATTTTTACATGTTTTTGGATTTTTTGGATATTTATGCTAGGGCCACATTGCTTTTGCAACCGCATATCATGTGCTTGAGTAGGTAGGGTCTGAAAGAAAGTGCATGAGAAGTAAGGAAATGATAAACTGGGTTTTGGCTGTGCCTGAGGTCCACACTGTGGAATGTTTGGGTAAAAAGGTCTAGCGGTTGGATATGATTCTAAAGCTAGGAGAGGCAGGAGCAGGCAGAGCCGGAGGGGCAGGCATGGCTGGGCCTGATGGCCTGCAGTGGAGTCTACTCTGACCTGCTCTCGGCAAAAATGTCTAGTCCTACAGAGACTGAGCAGTGCATTGAGACACTGATTGCTGGTTTCCAGAAGCATGCTGGAAAGGATGGGGACAGCACCACATTTTTCAAGATAAGAGTTCCTACCATTCATGAATAAAGAACTGGGTACTTTTACAAAAATCCAGAAGGACCCAGTGTCCTTGACCACATGATGAGGCTGCATGTCTACAGTGCTGGGCAGCTAGATTTCCAAGACTTTCTTAACCTTATTGGCAGTTTGGCCACAGCTTGTCATACCCCCTTTATGTTGGCCCGGAAGTGTGCCTGAAGCCCCCTGGGTCCGGCCTCACACCTTCCCACTTAGATATCACTTCCTTTGGTATACACACACCTGTGCCCAGCCCACCCTATGGAGCCACTTCTGCTGGTACTAATAAAACTAGATTTAAAAAAGAAATAAACATAAAAAATATATAAAGTTAGGGGTAGAGGTTGGGAACTTAATAAAATGGATTTGGGGTAGAAAGCAAAACAAAAGAAATTCCCCAAAGCAAACAACAACAACAAAATGAAATAAGGGACGGCGAGATAGCACAGTGGACTAAGCACTTACTTAGGCAAACACAGGGACCAGGGTTTGATTCCCTGGTATCATATGCCCTGCTGGCCCCACCCCTAGATGCACTGAGCTGGCCACTGAGACCTGGCATGGTGGCGCATGCCTGTAATCCCAGAACCAGGGAGACTGAAAACAGGAGGATCACTACAAGTCAGAGCTCATGGTGAGACCCTGTATCAAACATATTACAAAGAAAGAAAGAAAGAAAGAAAGAAAGAAAGAAAGAAAGAAAGAAAGAAGATGAGTAATATGATTTCAAAAATATATATCTGGTCAATTATCTTTCAAAAATAGGATGAAATAAATGAATTTTCAGACAAACAAAAACTGGGACAGTTTAGCACTAACACATTATCACTCAATGCAGAAAAATTATTCTAGCTGAAGTATCTGATTTGTAGAGTTTCATGGCAGAATTCAGTAAACATGAGAACAAATGTAGATAAATATTGCCTGTATAAAATGATGACTGATTTAAAGTTAGAAAATCATGATTTTATATAAAATACAGAAAATGTATACAATAAAATTCAGTACACACTCACTAGGATCTTAAAAAAAACATAGCAAATTAGAAAAGAAAGAAATTTCCCTAACTTGATAAAGGAAACTGATAAATGCCTACAGTAAACATTCTTTATAACAAAATGTTCAAAAAATTCTCTCTTACAGCAGAAACATGACAACAATGTCATTTTCATTGGCCCACTTGAGGCTGTCTAGAGATGCTTGTCACTACTGTATCACAAGAAAAAGAAATGAAATGATCATTAGTTGTAGACAATATGTAGAAACTCCAAAGAATCTACAGATAAATTATTATATTTAATAGGCTAGGAAATATGCTTGATATAGAAATTAATAAGTAAAAGTCAACTATATCTAAAACAGTTTGTTCCAATAGATATTACATGGTGTTTGATAAATTTGACTTCATTAAAACTAAGAATTTCTGTCCATCAAAATGTACCATCGACAGGGAAATTAAAATTTTACATAAAAGCCTACCAAAAACAGACAGACATGGCTGGACAAATCTGACATGGGGACTTTTCTTCCTTTGCACAATCCATGAATGTTTAACTGATGGCCTTGCAATGTAACTTGAGATGTTTAAACTCTCTCAGCAATACGTGATATCACCCAGTCCTTCAATCATATGCACCAAATTTGCCTTTGTACATGTGCCCCCCTCTTCCCATAAAAGCCCCAAAACCCCACCTGGCAGGCCTATGACTCTTTGGGAGAGATCTCAGTCAAACCTATTGGTGTAGTAAATTGCCTCCTAAACCTTCTCAGTGCCATCCATCTCTTCCAGTGTTTGATCTGTTTTCTGTAACACCGTAAGGAGAAAGGAAATATAGGCCTCAGACTTGAATTATTTGTAACACTTATATCTGGGAAACAATCCGTAGACAGACTATAAAGTATGCCCATAAATCACGGAGAAAGTTACTCCAAAAATCTTTACCTCCACCTAACAGATAGAGAATGGGTAAAAGGCTTGAAAAAAGTATTTATCATAAGGCTAAACAGGAATAAACAGGTAAAAATATACTCATCCTCGTTAAAAACAGAGAAATGCAAATTAAAATCACAGTAAGATATTTTTTGTCAACCACTAATTTAGGAAAAACATTATGAATTCCCACAATATCCAAGGTGAAGGTAAAGTTCTAGAAGAATGAGAGCCCTTTATGCATTGCCAATGGGAATGTAAATCGGTATTATCATATTTCTTGGCAGTTTTAATCGTGATGGGTGCCCTGGAGTATCTTTGTACAACCAAACATGATGCATGAATGCAAGCGTGTCTAAAGTGGTAGGTTTCTAATAGGAAGCAACAGTTACTTCCTTAGTCTCTTACCCTACAATGGATCTCTCTGATCTCTCTCTCTCTCTCTCTCTCTCTCTCTCTCTCTCTCTCTCTCT